AAAATCGTCCAAGGGGGGCGGTGACTAGTAATAAGGGGGGCGGTAAATAGTAGCGCCCTATTTTTAAGGTTTTGCAATTTACAATATTTTTTTGCGGTAAAATGCTACCTCAACTTCATGTACCAGATTTTCATGTTGGTTTGTGGTTAGCCTCGTCTTTAAATAAAAAGTAAATGTTCTTTGGTCCCAGTGTTTTTGAATATGTTGCGACGTACTTGTATCACATATATCTTTTTAAATCATGTGTGTAATTGTTTCTCATTTTTCTTATCAATCAAATCTTTTAAGCATTGTTCTAAAAATCGGCCTACGCAGTGTCCGGACGCCTCTAACTTGCACAAATCGTCAGAAAAAAATCGGCCAAATGGCCCTAAGCGTTCCTAAGCCGACTTGGCGGGCTCGACGGCCAGGCGGTTAGGCGGCGCCTAGGCGGGCATAGACGGACCTAGACGCTCCTAAACGAGTTTGGCGGCAATTTTTTAGTTTTTTTTATTTAAATATTAATTATATTATTTTTCTCATGTTTTCTTTAAAATATATTAATACTATTATTTGGACTTAGGTATGTTGATTTATTATAAGTTGAAATAATTTTTTTTTTGTAGGTAGTTAAAATAAACAAAAAATAAAATATTTAATATTGATTTCTAGACTACAACTAGGCGCAGCCTAAGCGCTCTAGGCGCTACGCACTGGTCAAGCTACGCACTGGTCGAGTACCTAAAGACTTTTAGAACACTGCATTTAAGCAAGTTATTCTTTTAACAAGATAAGTTTAACCTATATTTATGTTCCACTTCCAGAGAGCTTCTGGTTGACGTGAGAAATCATTTTAACCAACTTATTAGCTACAAGGATCAATGTGATTATTTACAACAGCAAAATTGGCTTCGTTTTCTTGCCCTTAAGAAATGTCATATCGGGTTGAGATAGAAGGAAAGAAAGATTAAACCGTTTGAATGGTAGAATTTCTAAAACAACAATTCCTACATCAAACCAGCATGTTAGATACTGTATCAAGGGGCAAATATGACCCCTTGAATAAAAAATCAAGCTAAAGTGACGAGAACTGAATGCCGACATCTCAGGATATCCCGAGCGCCGATATATCTCCTTCATAAATGATCTACTCTGTGAAAAAAAAAAAAACAAAAAAAATCGAATAAGATAAGAAAATAGTAGCTAAGCTCTTGCTACATCATTACTGTATACCTAACCTAGTGTTTTCTTGATCATTGTCTTCTGGTCTTCTGTTAATGACGTTGGGAATAGAACCTCAAACGTGACATACAAATCTCCTTTCTTATTGTTATAATGCAATGGCATACCTTCGCCTTTAAATTTCCTCACTTCCTTTGGGTTAGTGATACCCTGACCGAGAATGAATGGGTGAATAACAAATTTATTAAAGGAAACTGGAGATTAGATACTGATGTTATGCAACTTAGCAAGTTTATGTGGATTGCAGTAAATGAGATTGCCACTAACCTTGGAGCTAACGTCCACCAAATGGTCATCAAGGTGTTTAACGGTCTTTTCGAAGCCAACAAGAGCTTGGACCTGAAAATACGAGGGAGCTTTTATAGAGCCATGACCACTTAAAATGGATTTTAGATTAAAGAAAGTAAGTTTGGCGTTATTAATGCTATATTTATTACCAGAGTAATAGTGACTGTTGTATGCAAATCATTGCCTTCTCTTCTGAAGCGGTCATGAGGTGCAGTACGTATGCGGAACTACAAACAAATAAATCATCAATCAAACATGAAATGCTGAATAGATAAGATATTAATCGAACAGATTCATTGCCATAACTAAATGCAAGGTATTAGTCAAACCTTAAGATCTCCAGGGTCACCATCAAGTATTGGCTCACCTTCTTCATAAAATACCACTTCCTGTAGGCTTGAACTATTAGGAACGTATTGGTTTGAATCATATAAATTCTCTGGAGAACTCAACTCAAAAATCCTTTCGAGGCTTTTAATCATATAAATTAGGCTTGAACTATTAGGAACTGCTCAACTTTGAAAATGAAAATCGCCTCAATTTACTTCAAGAAAGTGTTGGGGTCGCTTTTAGAATAACTATTATAACATTCATGGATAGTACACCAAAAAAGATTTAAGGAAAAATAAGAGAAGCTTACTTGTCCATCCTGCATTCCTTTCTCGATATCCACGGTGACAAAATCACCCTCTCTTTCATACTTAACATTAGGGCACTGATCACAAACCTGGAATGGCCAACATTAAATGAAATTTTAATAGATGAATAGCACAAAAAAAACGAGGCAAGATGAAATGCTGCCACAAAAAAGATGTCGCAGTTTGTAATTAGGGAAAATAATACCTGCTCTGTCATCTGCTGAAACATTCCAGGACCAATTTGCCTGTGATAAACCTCATTTCTACAATTGCAGCGCCTCTTACCTGGAGCTGGTTTTATTACATTTTTCACTCTCCAAACCTGATGAATTTCATAAACAAACAACTGGTATGAATCTAAATTGGCTCAGGTAGAATTTAACATTCCATATGGTCAGTAATTGTTTCTTACTATCATGTTCAGGTTTTCATACAAATTCTAGATCTTTAAACCTCAGTGACAACTGACAACGACTCGAAATCATAACTTATAATGAAAGTGAAAGGAAAAAAGTTGTAAAGCCCAAAGAATACAGCCAACTTAATAACCTTCCAGAAAACATCAGCAGTTATTTTTTGGTCTCAATTTTTTTCATATTATTAAATTAATGACCATACAAATTTCTATTCAAAATCCAGGATTCCATTCTAATAAAAAAACATTTCGTCTTCAATAACTAAATTCACAACCTTTAGAGTTCCCCCCAGATATAGATCTTCAAGTGTAGCATCCAAGTCAACAATCACATCATCGCCTTTCACAACCTTTTCTTCCTCTTCCATAGAACCTCCACCAAAAAATCTGGAAACATTTTTGTTTATTAGCACACAGCATAGACAATCATGGACAGAGCATCAATCTCACAATCAACAAAAATACTCAAGAACTTTAAGGGAAAAACAGAACCATCAGCCCTTATGCAGCCACAAAGAGACTCAAAAGTAGCATAAATAGACAAATGATGCATTTTTTAGTGTTCTGATCAAATGAGACCGTTTTGGTGATCGATTAATATTCCATGATGATAGTCCATGCACCCATTCAATAATTAAAGCAAAGAACAAATTGCCAATTTCTTTGCATCATGTCGCGACTTAACTTGCTAAATTCATCGAGTGATTGGAAAAATGCATATTACAAATACCAAAAAACGAATTAAAAAAAAAAAGTTCTTCATAGCTATAACAAGTGTCACAAGCTTCTACACCCATGATTGCTAATTATATAGTTGCCATCTTTCCCATTCAAAGAATTAAGAAACGACTAGTTATCAACGGCATACACTGTATTAGATACAAAAATCAAACCAACTTCGAAAAGAGCAGAATAATTCTAATATATTAAGGAATTTACGAGCTAAAAATATCTTGAATATTCATTCCTCCTCCACCTCTGCCTCCACCAGCTGCATGCTGCTTAAGACCTTCTTCACCATATCTATCATATATGCCTCTCTTTTCGCTATCCGACAAAACTTCATAAGCTGAAAAGATAGAAACATACAAAGTTACAACGCAGTCTGAACTCAGAACCACCCAATACATCAGCAACAACATTATTATTAATTTGAAAATGAACAGAAAAATGGGATACCATTATTAATCTCTGCAAATTTCTTATTCGCCTCTTCATTTCCTGGATTTTTGTCCGGATGATATTTCAAAGCAAGCTTACGGTACGCACGCTTTATCTGCTCATCGGAGGCGCCTTTGGGCACTTGCAGAATATCATAATAACTCTTCCTGTTCAAATGCGAAAACCAGTTAAAACTCCATGGACAGACACAACAAATAAAAAAATGTAGCTGCCACCATGATTACACTTCGATTAATCGACGGCCAAATCAAAAAATAAATCCTCAGTACTCACGCTGCAATGGCGATCAGATAGTACGACGCGAAGCAGAAAAACAACAGTAACTTTGATCTCCGATGCGCCATAACCAAAGCCAGGCACAGAGACCAAAACTAAAAACACGATCAAAGCTAGGGCGATGGCCAAATCCTCCAGAAGAAAAAAAAAANNNAAAAAAAAAAAAACACTGTTTCACACAAAAATTGTACGAATTCGTATGAAAGCGTATATACGATCAAGATTAGGCAATAGAGAGTGCTAATCCACGGCCGATTATACGTATGCTGAGAAATCAGCAAACTGATTTTAAGAGCACCCACAATGCTTTGGGTTTCTTAGAAAAAAGTTACATGCCATGTAAGAAATAGACCTAGTCTATAAAAAAGTGTTCTCCAATGCAATTAAAAGTGGACCTAATCTAGCTTATGTGGCAATAAAAAAATGAGACCTAGTCCACACTTGGGTCTATTTTAGACCCAAGTACAAACCCAAGCACTCATCATTTATTCCTCATTTAATTTTTCTTTTAATAAATAAAATATACTAGAGCATTTTTATTGGTTGTCATGTATTCTAGACCTAGTACTTTTTTGTTTTGCATTGGATAGATTTTGATTTTTTTAGTTTAGGTTTGTCCATGTCATTATGGACTTAAGTCTATTTATTTGCCACATATACAAAAAGAGACCCAAAGCATTGTGGATGCTCTAAGCTCGCAACGTTGGATTTGGGGGAACCGGCCAATCAGAGAAGGCTCCATCTTCTAGGAGCCAATAAGAACTCGCCACGTAACAACATTTTTTTTTGATTTCCGGATCCACCAGAGTACCGACTAATCCAGAATCGAGCTGAATAGGACCACAAGGGCGGCAAAGCACTTACCTACCCCACCTGATGTGGGCCCAATTTAGCATAAATTCTTGTTATGCAATTTGAAGTAACTCAATTAGTAGAAGCCCAAGTATCCGAACAAAAGTCCAATGGCCAGTATTAGGCCCATATACTTCACATACAGAAAGCAAAGCCCAGTACAGAAGTCCGGCCACTGTTCAATTTTCTGTACCTCAACTCCGCCCAAACAATCTACCGGTGGCGGTGTGTCTACTCGCTCGCCGCGGCTTACGGCAGGACTCCATATCCGGCGAAGATGAAGTCGAGGCTCGCAGCTTCCTTCTTTTGGTATTCTGCTGATCGTACTCGAACTTGCCGTTAAAGCCCTAACATATCATCTGTGCGCGCTCGCGTGAGTTTTGTTAACACTTTTCTTTGTAATGCTCAAATTCTTGCTGTTAGCAGGCACATGTAGGAGAATCACGAGCAATTAAGACCGACAGGAATCTCCCTTGACCACAGCCTTCGCCAAATTAACTGCTGGTAAAGCTGTGAAATGAGTTGGTGATGTGTTTTGAGCTAGGCAGCTAACGTGAACGCCTACTTTTTGTTTGAGGTTTTTTCGAGTTATTCATGTTTTTCTTATTCAATCTAAGTTGCTGAAAATTGATGTCTGTATAATCTGTATATGTGAAAAAGGAAATTTGCAGAGATGCCACATTTTCTCTTGCTTGTAACTAATATGCCACATTTGGTCTTCATCGGTCACAAAGATGGGAGATGGTATTTTGGTGAATTTCCATAACGTGAAGACGCATTAATGTCTCGATTATAAATGAGTGGTAGAATGTGTATTTTGCATCTGATTATACCCTTTCGAGGGCGCCTTGGCGCCTTGAGCTAAGGCCGAGGGAATATAAGATAGTACTATGATGGATATTTACTATTGTATTCACACTTACTTCTCTGCATTTTCCAGCTTCCAGGCGCAGGGCATTGAGAGCTCAAATAGATATGTTCACTCTTCTGCTATTATGGACGATGATTTCTCGGAATTGGGTTCAGAAGTTTCAGAATATTGCGCTAATCGAATACAATTATTCACTGAGAAAAAGGACTGTGTTACTGTAAGCTTCAGCCTTCACGGATGCCCTTAAGCTATCGTGTTTAGTATAGTATATACATATGGAAATTTAGTGCAAGAAAACTTTTGGACTTCTCCCTTTTTTCTTTTCCTTTTTAATATTGCGGGTATCCTACTTCTACTTGCCCTTGAGAGTGTACTTTGTCAAAGTTCACTAGTTTCACTTGGTTTTTGTTATTTTATAAGATATCCTGCAGCTACTTGCCCGAGTAGTAACAGTACTTTTTACCGTTGACCCAATTCTCTACATTTGAGTTTTGCTTTGTGTATTCCTCTGATATTGAAATGCTAATGAATTTCCCTCTGAAGAAAACTTATAAACAAAAAAGAAAACCAGATGGTAGGCCCATTCCTTCAGATGTTATGGGCCGTAACTTTCCACTTTCGAATTCCGAAGTTGGTGGTTACAGTCATTCTTCCATGTCAACTAATAAAACTGTAAAAGTCACTGATGTAGGAAGTCCATGCTCTGTGTTAGTTAAGAATATTGTCCCAAGTGTTGGTCTCGGTCGCTTCATTTACAGTCGCATCCGATGGAATCCGGAGTTGTAACATAGAATTTGAGGTAAATAATGTTGTTTTGTTTTCTCTTGCGAGTATTTTCATCGATTTTCTTTAGAGTATTAACTTTTTATATTCTCGTGGGTTTATCATTTTGTTTACAGGATGAGGACTCCAGCAGGAAGGCTATCTCAGCTGGTAAAATTGGAGTGGGCAGTCGAGAATTTCCAGTTCATCTTCCTCTGGTGATGCACAGATAATTACCTTCAGAATCGGGAGAATAAATAAAAAGACTACTGATTATGTTATTCACTCCAGATGCAAGGTTATGGGTGAATTCATGGGATTAGCAAGAGCAAGTGGTGGTGCAGTAGATGCGTTCTTTAATGTGCGGAATGACTCTATCCAGCGTTCAATACTTCAAATGTAAGACTTCTCAGCTTTAGCACGAATTTAAAAGAGATAAACAAAAACAAAGGAATATTACGGAACTCAGTATAAAATTAGTCAAATGAATGTTAGTGCACAATTATTCCCTGTCAGAACGCTTGAATGTTTATTCTTGACACCCTTCTTTTATTGCGAATATATTGAGTGTGTACATTTTTGCTCTTTCCTCTATTGAATTATGTGTCATGTGTACTTGAAGACTCACTGAAGTCCTTCCTTCACGTTTGTTTTATATTAGAATATGAGACTGAGAATATCCTACTTTAGTTTCCAATGCACTTTTTACGTTGCAACAAGGTTATATTAATATCTTAGTTGACCGTTCTATCTATTTTTGATTTGGTAGGCCGAACAGTACAATAATTGATCTCAGCAGATTTGGAGGCATTATATGCCGGTATAATGTCCATAGAAGATTCGCCGCAGGCCGTTGATCATCAGGTAGCTAATGAGATTTCATTTCGTGTTTCGTATAGTATCAATTAAATAATAAAAAATGGCTAATACTACACACGTGGATTTTGGTTGAACTGTTCTGGTTTTAGCCTTCTGCGCTTGGAGATTATGCTAAAATTGGCATGTGAATTGTGATTCGATTCTTTTCGTGAGTATGGGCCCAAATATCACTATTGGGCCTGGCCATTTATCTGGCTAGCCTGAAAAACAAATGTGAAAAGGTGTGGAAAATGAATGATCTTAAACAGAAAGGCAAAGCTAATTTTTCTGTAGTCAGAAAGGGGTAGGTGGCTTTGGTAAACAAACAGTGACGTGTTCGAAAAGTTCATGTCATGAACGACTTTGCTGAGCAAAGTATGTGTTGGCAAATTTGGGTAGAGTGATTTTAAGTTATTTGTACACTGTTTTAGACCATGAGGGACCAGCAAATCTTTTAGGATTAGACATCGTTCATTTATATTATACTTCATATTAGAACATTTAGATAGCTTTCTTTATGGATTTTAATATGGTAAAGTCTCTATAGTTCTTTCAGCATAATGTTTGTAGCAAGGTCCTCATAGTTAGCCAGTCGGCCTAATGTTCAAAGGAATGGAATTCTATATCACTTTATTGTTTCATGTCAAGTTCAATTTCATTCTAAAGATCACATTGTTGGTTCCTTATAAGATATAAATTGTATTGACAACTGATATAGTTATGGGCATGACTATCGATTTAGGTTGTAGTATAAACTGGATGTAACTTGTCTTAGCTATTAGTTTATACCGACGTGTTGCGTTGCAATGAAATGATCACATTTGAGACGTATTCTTCCATTCTGACTGTCATGAAGAACCAATGTGTGATTTTATTAATTCTGAACTTGTGATACTAAGATATATGAGATATTTGTTTGTTATGTTGAATAACTATGGGTGAGAACCAAAGTTTGGTTCAATATCCTTCGTATCTTGGGTAGCGACATTGTATGCATGATATCTACATATTGCCATTAAGGCACCATGTTCTCATGATGACGTCCCTTGAGGAACTCATAAGGATTGTCCTATTAAACCTTGCAGGTGGATTTAATTCGCACAATAATTAGGATGAGTGGTACTAGGAATAAAAAATATTAATTAATCTAAGCAGTCATAAGCTTTATTAATTAATGGACGTGTGAAAACACGGGAAATTATATTTAATCTAATAGAAATCTTGATTCATTTTGAGATAGGACTGGTGTGCAATATAATTTTTTTGTATGGATTATGATTGAGAAAGGGTATAGAAGAGTAGGAGTCGTGGACTAGTGATAATATATTTTGTATGGATTATTATTGAGAAGCAACGTGTTCCAAAACTTTGTGCTTACAATTATGATGTTGGACAAAAATAAACATCCTTGTTGAGAGCATAGATGATTGGAAAAGGGCACCATATCACAAACTCAAAAGTCCCAAAAAAGCAAGATTTGGACCAATAGATTCTCTATGATTGTTAACTTTCCATGAAATCACAATATAGGAAATAAAACAGTTTCACATGGTAACAATGACATTAAAACCCATTGGATTTTTATCAAAGGAAGATAAAGTTAAAGAGAGAACATCCAAAAAGAACATCACTTAGCCATGGCTTGTTATTATATTAATGGCACAAACGTGAGTTAGATTTAAAAGATTCCAATCTGAAAATTTAGCCATGTGATATTGATTGATTATTGTCCATGATAGCAGACAATGGGTCTCCACAAACACACACGAAAACCCAACTAAAAAAAAAAAAAAAGTTTTAATTTTCAGTAGCACCATGTGGGACTTTGCTGGATTTTGGATTTTAAAACATGATCATTAATACATGTTTTGTACAAATGCATCCCAACTCCAAGTGTCCCGGTTAGACATGGCCAAAACACGGGCAGGGTCGAGGCCCGGCGCGGCGGGCCTCCGGCTGATGGCATCCAATAAAATTAAATAAATAAATAAGAGAGATAAAATATTATTACATGTCAAGAATTGAAGGAAGAAAAAAATAGGTATTTTGAATGGCTCAATTAAATACTCATGCATTTTCAATAAATGAAAATATTCAAATAAAACATACTCAAATATATTATTTTAAATTTTAAAAATATGATACTTTATGATATAAATATATATTTTAATCAGAATCATGATTTCAAGGATCATTATTATTGTTTTGGTTAGAATGCAACATATGCAACATTAATCCACTCAGTCAATTCTCATGACACTTTTAATTTATTTGTTGTTTTTTTGTTTAAAAAAAATAATATATTTTCTAATAATAAACACGAATACTTACCGACAAGAAAAAAGAAACAGCCGAATCAATCAGGTACTAAGTTAATTTAAAAAGAGGTGTACTCACGTGTAGCCTAAAGCGGATAACACAAATACAGACACAAATATAACTTGATTATATTACCTTAATATATTTTTGATTTAATTGAAACATCTAACAAATATGCATAAGCCTAATGGCAATCTCATACATTAATTTTGAACAATTATGCATAAGCCTAATGGCTATCTCATACATTAAATTTGAACTTATAGGTGATAAATACAACCTAAATATATTAAAAGTGTTTAATAAAACTAGCTAATAAAAGTCAGTCAGAATTTTCAACGGGCTTTAAGAGTTGAGTGGTAGCTCATAAATTAATTTTTAGCTTATAACTGATGACTACAAGCAAAATATAATATAAGTGCTTAATAAAATTAGTTGATAAGTAAGTGGCTTTTTGAGTTAGCTAGTAGCTCATAAATTAATTTTGAGTTCATAGCTGATAATTAAAAGCTAAACATAATAAAAGTGCTTAATAAAATTAGCTAAAAAAATTGGTAGCTCATAATTAATTTTGAGCTCATATTTGACGACTAAAAGCTAAATATAATATAAAATAATTAATAAAATTAATTGATAAATCAAATGAAATTTTCAAAACAGGCCTTTATAAGAAGCTACAGAAAACAAGCTCAAATTTGGTTTTTGTTGGTGGCCACGGTATTCGGAGCTATGCACCGACATCAAGTTGCTTACCACTTGAGCGAACTCCTGTTGGTAACTCAAACTTTGTTTTAAAGAGCTCATCATGTACCAAATCACTTATTATTATTTGAAATATATATGAAAAACTTATAAGCTAACTAGAAACTATATATTATCACGCATATTTTCGAGTTTTGTTTTGTATGTAACATTAAATAATTATTGTTCACGCACAAATCGACTAGAAAAAACAAATACTGCAAGTGCATATCAACATAGAAGTTGAATATTTTTTGTTCTTACACGTACAGTCCAGAACATAACAAATAAATCTGAAATTCCGATGACGGAACCAAATTAAGTTTACATAAGCTTTTTCAACAAAGATAGATAATAATTAATAAATAGTAGAAAAATATAGGCTAAAGCCCATACACAAACTATACAACAAAAGCTGAATATATTAATGGCAGTTTTATTTTAATTTTTTTTTCCACATTTCACCTGGACGAGATGGGGTTCAGATTCCTAGTGAACCCACTGAAAGCGCCATAGCTCTTGGAACTGAACCCTAGGCAGCCCAACAGCCCTTGCCTGTAGGGCAGAAAAGTCTTTTTCTTCATCTCCTCCGCCTGTGCCCTGTTCGCAGTGTAGTGCAGTTCGTGCGCCGACGGCGGCACACGCCTTCTCCAGACACCCTTCACCGGCTTCCCAGCCGCCGCGGGAGCTTCCCGCGCTTTCGTCGCCTCGCCACCGCCTTTTTTTTCGTCGCGAGACGACGATGGAGATAGCCCCGGCGATGGCGACGGAGAAGAAGACAGCGAGGACTTCTTCCTCTCCTTCGCCGGAGAAAACGAGATCGCCGACCAGAACCTCTCCCTGTTGCTGTTCGCTCTCCCCTCGCTTTTGCTCCTGTGCAGCAGATCCTTCAGGAAAATCCACTTCCTCGAGTTCCTCCCCGACGACGACGATCGGGAGGACGACGCCGAGCACGACGGCGTTGTTTCGCTCGACTCGTTCTCCTTCGCCTGACTGATCTCTTCCTCCACGGCGGCGACGGCGGATCTCAGCCCCTGCCACTCGTACTCCGCCGTGGCGCGCAGTGGCGACATGGATCTTGCCTTCCTGTGCGAGTATTTCGCGCTGCGAGCCCTCAGATCTCTGCCCCTGCCGCTAGCGGCGTCTCCGCCGCACAGATCCAGGAACGGCGCGACGTTCTCCTGCGGCCTCTGCAGGTGGGACGAGAGCTTCATCGGCCGGATCTGGCCGTTGCAGAACAGCTCGTCGGCGGAGGTCATCGACCCGTTGTTCCCGCCCGACCCGGCGGGCGAGAACCGTGAGGAGAACTCGAACTCGAACGAACCGGAGTCGGAGGACAGGAAGACCGGCTCGTACACGCGCGGCGACGGCGCATCGAACTTCTCGCCGGAGAGGAGGTAGTGCATTGGGCTCGCCGGGGCGCTGAAGAAGTAGCCGGAGGGGCCATGGCCGGGGCTGGACGGTGCGCTGACGAAGGGCGTGGAGCAGGAGCTATCGACGTCCTCGCTGAACCGCGGCGGCTCGTCTCCGCCGGGTGGAGACGCTCCGCCGGTGCTGTTTTGTTTAGAGAGAGGCATTATTGAGGAGAGAAAGAAACAGGGTGTGGGGAAAAATGAGGAGCATGGGGAAATGGGGATGCTCTGAAACTAATCTTGATGGACACGCAATTATTGTACGGTTTCAGCAGAGAGAGTGCTCTCTGAGCGATGCTTCTGTTTTTATTATTTTTATTTATGAATATCTATTTTTTATATTTTGTTTTGGGAAAATAATTGATTTTGTTTTAGGGAGATGCTACAGTCCTGTTACGGAAGCATTCTGTCGGTATTTGTAACCGTTAGATCAACTATCTTCAACGGTTACAAACCGCGACGTAATAGTTTCGTAACGGGAGCGTAGCATTTTTGTTGATCTAACGGTTACAAACCGCGGCGGAATGATTCTATAATGTACAGTAACATTTTTCTTTGCTTTATACGTGTTGGGCCTGTCACATGATCGGTGCAGCCAATGTCGGAAAAGACGGATAAGCCCTTATTTATTGTCATGTTTGGGTATATTTGGAAAACGCAGTGTGCTGTCTCTGTATTACAGGTTGCATGAACTTGGTATGAAGGATCAAATTGGTAGTTGATACTTGGTAACACTCATTTTAACTGTTAAATAATGTGTTGTGTTATGCGGTTATTTCTTATTTCAACTTTAATTAAGTTACTTTGATTTTTTAGTATTAGGATTAACTGCAGTGAAGGAAATTATTTATTTATTGTATTGACAATAAACATATCAAACATTGTTCCCCAATTACTAGTTAAAAAATAAGATGGAAACTCAAAATTATCACATTCAAATGCAAGCAATCTATTTCTTTGTTGGGATTGGTTGATTTTTTGCATTTTGATATAGCCCTATTGTCGTAGCCCGATTCAGGCATTAGTTACTCGACTCGCGTTGCCAAGAATATCATTAAGACGATACCTCCAAAGTCGACGTGGCCTATCCATCATTTAAGGATCACCACTGGCCTAAGGACGATCAAAAGACGACTTCAGGAAGTCGTCTTTGTTTAAAGTCGACTTATGCGTTAGAAGGCGAATGAACATTCTAAGAACCTCAGATATAATCGCAGGACCATAAGTCGAATCGACAAGGCTTCGAGCCGACTTAGAGTACTTCTGGCGACTCGAATTTACCTCAATGACGAAACAGGGCTCCCAGAACTAGGGAATCTATACGAGATAAGAAGGAATCTGGGTGCTGATTCAGATAGTGGGTAGAATGTGAAGCGACCAGGGCATTTTGGACACTTCAGGTAAGTCGGCTAGGGCATTTCAGGTATTTCCAATGAGCATTTCTACCCTTATATAAAGGAGTAGAGGTGACTCCAAACCCTAACCATTATTCTCCTCATTCAATATTCAGCTGCTGCTCCCACTGAGCAGAGCTCCTTCTCTCTTCATTCACTGACTTGAGCGTCGGAGGCTCTTCACCGGAAAATACTTCCGGTGTTGAGTTCTTGCAGGTGTTCACTGCGGTCCACGGGCGACTTGGAGACGATTCGAACAGACCGGAGCTCATTTCTACCGGTTCACTCCAGATCTAGGAGGAGACCCATCAGTTGTGTTATGCGGTTATTTCTTATTTCAACTTTAATTAAGTTACTTTGATTTTTTAGTATTAGGATTAACTGCAGTGAAGGAAATTATTTATTTATTGTATTGACAATAAACATATCAAACATTGTTCCCTAATTACTAGTTAAAATATAAGATGGAAACTCAAAATTATCACATTCAAATGCAAGCAATCTCTTTCTTTGTTGGGATTGGTTGATTTTTTGTAATTTTACTTATGTTATTTTATAAAGTAGGATATTTTGATCTAAAAATATGAAAGAATTTGCATTTAAAAAGTGATGAATCAACCCAATAACTCGATAAACTGAAGGAGTTTAGGTGGCTATTTGTTGGGTCACCTATGTAAGTGATATAGCTCGAAATTGGTGCGGTAGCTTTGCCGCGGTAGGGATGAATAAGGGTCGAGTTTGAATGTGCGGTCTCTTTGTGCAACCTAATAAAGGTAAGAGAAGATCAAAGGCCGTCTAGCATAGATGAATCTTTACTATATTCGTGGATAACCGATTACTAGAGGCATCCTTCTTCATCTACGGAGAAATATCGTGGGATTCGTAAATCAAAAAAGATATCAAAAATGATTTATGAACATCAACATTGAGAGAAGGATAACTAAGACAATATTCGTCAACTTATATCTAACATTCATGTCACAGTCATTACATCGGAAAATTCTTTGGCATTTTGCCAGCGATCGAGGGAATCGAAGCTCAAGTTTCCAATAGAAATCGAAGCAGAAGCGCGATCTACTTCGTGTGACACTCTATCATTTAGGGGGCGATTGTATATAGACTGTACAGTAAAAGTCTAAATCAAAACTCAAATTTAACGCAACTTTAACTCAACTCCACTATCTCTAATATTATCAATATAATTAAATAATATCAATCAATCATTATTACACATCACATCAACTTTGATTCACCATTCACTCACTCATATAATTTTAACTAACCATCACTTCCAATAATTTTCTCCTACTTTTACATCACATCAACTCTAATTATTTTATTTTAAATATTATTTTAATATATCTACTAACAACTAACCATATCAAAATTTTTCAAACTTAATTATAGTTAAAAAGACTAATTATTTTTTACTATTTGAATTCATATCCAATCATCCATTAGAGGGTGATTGTTTATGAATTCAACTAGTTTTTATTTGGTTTGTTTTTTAACTATAGTTAATTTTGAAAAAAAAAAATGTGGTATGATTAGCTGTTAGTTGATATAATAAAATAATATTTAAATAAAATAATTAATGTTGATTTGATGTAAAGTAAGAGAAAAATGATTGGAAGTGGCGGTTAGTTAAAATTATGTGAGTGGATAAATAGTGAATTAAGTTGATGTGATGTATAAGAATGAGTGGATGATATTATTTAATTATATTGATAATATTAAAGATAGTGAAGTTGAGTTAAAATTGAATTATATTTAAGTTTTTATTGATTTTTGTAAGTTGAGTGTATATAAACAAGGGAAATTTTTGTCTATCCTATAAGATATAAAAATATTTTCAATTTTACCTTAATGTAAAAGTATTTTCAACAATACCTAAACCAACTATTTTATTTAAGGGATTGCATCTAAATCAGTTATCTTGTACGTGCGTGAAATCCGCGATTTGAAAAAAAAAAAAAAAAAAAAAA